TATGATAACACAAAAACACATAAGCAAACCTGGCCTTATTTGTTGGATGACTAGTCGTCTAGTCAAGTGTTATTACCCATCTTTACTACAGCAATGAGTTCATTGCACCTACTTAACTTTGAAATTGATTGTTGATAAAGTAAATTGAGTAGAAATGACAGATGCTGTCATATTTCCCAGTGCCTGTAGTTTAAAGGGGTCATGAAATGAGAAACCAAAATTCCCTTGATCTTTTGACATAATAGGTCATTGTATTATAAAAACATCCTGTAAGTTTCAGAACTCAAAACTTTGTCGTTAGTCTAAAATCAGCTTATATTGAAGGCAGTCTGCCAAAACGACAGTTTGTATAGTGTTCTACTCTATGATGTAATAGTGTGGATAAACACTGCCTCTGCAGAAGATCATCAACGGCTGCTTCTACAGCACTGCCTGTTTAGCCCCGCCCACCGATTCTACATCACTGCCTGTTTAGCCCCACCCACCAATTCTACATCACTCCCTGTTTAGCCCCGGCCACCGATTCTACATCACTGCCTGTTTAGCCCCGTTTAGACCCGCCCACCGATTCTACATCCCTATCTGTTTAGCCCCGGCCACCGATTCTACATCACTCTGTTTAGCCCCGGCCACCGATTCTACATCACTCTGTTTAGCCCCGGCCACCGATTCTACATCACTCTGTTTAGCCCCGGCCACCGATTCTACATCACTCTGTTTAGCCCCGGCCACCGATTCTACATCACTCTGTTTAGCCCCGGCCACCGATTCTACATCACTCTGTTTAGCCCCGGCCACCGATTCTACATCACTCTGTTTAGCCCCGCCCACCAATTCTACATCGCTGCCTGTTTAGCCCCGCCCACCGATTATATATCACTCTGTTTAGCCCCGCCCACCAATTCGACATCGCTGCCTGTTTAGCCCAGCCACTGATTTGCACATGTAGCATAAATAACGAGAGAGGCGAACGCAGATCTAAGCAGAACCCAAATGATAAAGATGCTCTGAAGACAACAAGACGCTGTGCAGTGCCAAGCTGTGGAAAATCCTTCTGATCCTAACGTTAGGAAAGAGTGAATGAACTTTATTTTTAATGAATATCCAGACCGCGTCAGTAAGAACGTGGTCCTTTGTTCGCTTCATTTTACAGCGGATTCGTTTACAAACAAGGTACAATTTGACGCGGGATTTTCAGAAAGATTAAAAACTAAAAGCTGTGCCGACTATATTGGATCCGACAGTAATGTCACAACACAAGTGTGAGTTACTGCTTTTATTACATGCTCACTATTGCTTTGTCTCTTAAACAGATCGTTTGATATGAGTATTATATGCGTATTTAACCTAAATCACAGCAGCATCCATCTATAGCCACGCCTATTCAAAAAAAAAATGTTTTTTGATCTAAAAATCTTGCTAACATTATAAGTGGACCTCAGAGAACAGTACAAAATAAAAAACAGAGGCAGTGCATGACCCCTTTAAGGCCTGTTGATGGGCTCGACTGTGGTCAGACACCTGTCCTCATGTCAGCTCACTTCATTGTGTGCAAGTCAGTGAACTGTGCCAGACTCAACCACCGTGACCCGACGCGCTCACATGACGATGTTGACACGGGTCTGAAATGTGTCACGACTGTACATCCAGGTAAAGTACATGGTGGAGCATGAACCGTGAACGTTTGAACCTCTGACACTTACTGTATGTGAAGGGTTTACGTTTTACTGTACTTTGTTTGATATCTTGATGGTGTTTTCTCTGCGCTTGCGGTCCAGTCATCTCAGGCATCGGTTTGATCGGTTTCACTTTCGCGCAGTGGATCGTGTCTTATATTGAAAGACTGTTTTAAAGGCAGCCTGTTTGCCGTTCATGTTTTCCATCAAGAATTGCTCATTTTACCTTCTGTCGGCTGCGCTGGGAATGTTTTGACGGCTTGTTTTGAAAATGAGTTATTATAAGAAATGTTAACTTGCAGTCATGACCAATAACTGGGGTCGTGTGCTATCAGAGAGGATTCACACATGATGCAGAATTGCAATTTGAATTAAAGGAGTTAAAATTAAAATGGAAAGAAATTCATATACTGTATTTGTCAATGATTCATAAATGAAGTCTTACAATATATTTTAAATATATCGATGCAGTAATGGACCATAATCGATTATAGCCTACTGACGTCATTCGCATACGCGCTTGTCACGCGAGTATTGAAGTATTACGCAATTCACACTCCTAAATTACAGTAATGAGCTGAGGCTGTGCTTAATTGTCTTAAAGTCGAGATAAACCGGAAGACATAAGAAGATCCAGTTATGACATTTTGATTAAAAATGATGTTGTCAAGTACTGTGAAACATAGACACGGATGAAACGTTCACAAGAAGATCTATAAGATGCGTTTAGAAATCAGCTTTTGTCTTGAGGTTTTGGAGAGAAGCGTGAGCTGCAGGTTCTCAGGTAGAACCCATCGACTCGGTCACATTCCAGCATGGCAGGTTTATTGAGGGTTCGCTTCACAAACAGGCCCAGAGCAAATGCAAATTACAGTCATCATGCAGCATTCTTCAGCAAACACAGGTTGCTCGGGGTCGCTCTTAACTGCGGGGTGCTGCATACAAATGACTTCCTGCAGAAAAGCACAGGTTAAGTACTTTGTATGCGTTGCTGTTTTCACAATTATAAAATCACAGAGTGCCATCAAGATGGTTTTACCTGCAGACCACATGCAAATTCAGTCATAAAGCCATAGATTTACTTGAAAATATGAAGCCGTTTAGAAGAAAACCAGACGGCATTGCAATTAAATCTGTAATCTCATCTGCGTCTCCTCTAGAGCTTTAGAAGACGTCTCAACAGTGTCTCAAAGTGTGCTCAGATTTGCCAAAATGCCAATCGAAGGTCCGAGATCTCAATATGAGCTGCTTTCCAGCTCTGCACTCCTACTGTATGACAGCTACTGACTCATTTCTAATAAGGCATTTTTGGAGAAACATCTGTTGATGCTTAGATTAATCATTACTGAAAGTGTCCTGAAGATATGAAAGAGCAGTCTATAAGAGAGGTTATGCTGCTTCTGAATGCTCTTTACTGTGTTGTGTAACTAAAATCACTCAAGAGTAGGACTCTGTGATTTCTGATGATGCTGAATCCAGTCATAAAAATGGCATTTACAGTATAATGCACAGAATGGCACAGAATTTCCCATCTGCGTCTCAATATATGAGAACATGAGTAGCAGCATTTCACAATTTCCTTTGAGAAAAACTACCGTCAAATACACATTAAAACGCCAAGCTCGTCACAGCAACTCGCCAAAATAAAAGTCAGAAATGCATTGCTGTTGTGCAGTAGACTGTACTTCTCAAAGTAGAAATGATAATGTAATAATTTAACATTTCAAGGATCTCACTCAATTTTTCTTCCATGTTTTAATTTAAACGGTAAGCCTAAATATAAACGCCAAAAATCAAAGGAATCATTACATTTTCATTTGATTGCATTTTAAAATGTTAATTGTTAATGTTTTATACATTTATTTTATTACCACTGTTTTTGATAATAAATGTGTATTAAATCATAAATCCAGAAAAATGTATTCTTATAATTAATTAAATAATTTAATTTGTAAATAAAGCATCATATGGCTCTATTTTTGTTAATAATAATAATAATAATAATTTATTAAATTGTCATTGTTTTTTTAATCAATTGATTAGACATGCTTTTTGCAAATGAAATGAAATTAAACTATTAAAAATAAGGGGAAAATGTATTTAGGTAAAAATAAAATGTAATTTGGGGAAATTACATTAGGCTGTATTACATTATTTTGATTAGGCTATAAAAATGTTGTTTTGTTCTATATTGTAAAGACTATTTTTTTAAATATTTATTAACATATATTATTTAGTTTAAATAAAAGCTGTTTTTTTTTTGTACTTTTTATTCATCAAAGGATCCTGGAAAAAAAAGTATCACAGTTTCCAAACAAATATTAAGCAGCACAACTGTTTCCAACATTGATAATAAATCAGCATATTATACTGATTTCTGAAGATCATGTGACACTGAAGACTGGAGTAATGATGCTGGAAATACAGCTTTGATCACAAGAATCAATTATATTTTAAAGTATATTAAAATAGAAAACCAGTATTTTAAATTGCAATAATATTTCACAATATCAGATGATGCCAAATTTACCAAATTTTGATTGCATCATATAATAATTGCTGTTAATAGTGTACATCGTCTGTTTGATTACGTCTTTAATTGATTTTTCCGTACATTTCTGCCATATGTACATTAACTGACAGTCACCACTGATAAGCTACCACTAAATATTGTAGAAACTTAATTTGCTGTAAAGTTGCTTTGCAACGATTTGTATCATAAAAAGCGTTATACAAATAAACTCGACTTGAATATTACCTTTTTTCTGTATTTTTGATCAAATAAATGCAGCCTTGATGAGCAGAAGAGACTTCTTTAAAAAACAAACAAAAACAATCTTTCTGATACAAAAAAAAACAACAATAAAATTATTAAACTTTGACTTACTAAAATAAAAATGAAAACAAAATATGAAAATAAACACAGATTCAAACTATGAGACAGTATCTCAATGATACTAAAGTAACACGGGTCTGAGCGCATTGGGCTTCCTCTTCCTCTGTAAAATCATCTTTCTGATCTCCTCTGGGGTTTTGAATGGCAGTCTATGAAAATAAATAAATATTCAGAATAGTGGTGGCTCAGTATTGGAGTTTAATGGCTGAATTGTGAATATTCGGTTTGCTTTCAGGGTAACTGCATTTCTTAATAATTTCTATCACCTTTCACATTGGCTCCATGTGCAGCGTCACACTCATTAGCAGCAAGTGCGGGAAAAGACGCTGGGCTCTTTGTCTCTGGCCGTCTGGCCGGGGTTCGAGGCTGGTGTAATGGCAGGTTCCCAGCGTGTTAATAACGGCCGTCCTCCTCTCGCTGTCTCACAGGTGTTCACAGGCATCAGTCGCAGGAAATCTCCGGTTTCTACTCGCTGCCTCAAGGCCAGATCACTCCGTCCATGAACTGGTAAGACATCTAAAGTCCGAGAGTGCACACATCTCTCCTCATATCTGCTGATGAAGGAGAGCATCCCAAACAAGACTTTAAATGTGAAGTGGCCCAGTATGTCACTGTACATTTACAGTCTTAAAAATAAAGCTGCTTATAAGGTTCTTCACAGCGATGCCATAGAAGAACCATTTTTGGAACCATCTCTTTCTTACCTTTTTATAATCTGAAGAACCTTCTTTTGCCACAAAGAAGCTTTAGTGAAACAGAAAGGTTCTTCAGGTGTTAAAGGTTCTTTATGGAACCATTTAGACAAAAACGGTTCTTCTATGGCATCGTGAAGCACCTTTATTTTTAAGAGTGTATGTGTGCAGCAACTTAATGTAATAACTGTACTTGTGTAAAAAGTTTTATTATTTAATGCAATGGAATTGAATATTATATATAATTTGATATAATGGTCATAACGCAATAATGTTCTCCAATCTTGAGCTCATATTGTAGTTTGCCATTGCATAGTCGGTTATTGCATGAGAAATTGAACAAAGTGTAGAAACTTATAATATATTCATAGTTTATAATCTTATGGCAGAACGTAATATACAGTATAAATGAAACGATGTTTACATTATATTAATTCTCTCTGAATATAATATGTTTATAGACACAAAACTTTAAAAGGTTATTACATTCAAATTAATGTAGGCTTCTTTGTCTACATTGTGAACATTTTAGTTTAACAAATTACTAATTTTGTGTTTTTATTATTTTTGTTTTTTTTATGACCTGTGCCATCAATTTGTGTCGCTTGGTGTTCCAGTTTTAGTTTTATTTGTTTAATTGCAATTGTTTTTTTTTTAAGTTACTGATTTTAAAATATAAATCATGATATTTAGGTTAGGATGAGATTTAAATTTAAAGGGATAGCATTTTTTGTTATTTGATTAAAAAGGTGATTATTAAATTTGACAATGTTTTAGTTGCACTCATATGTCTCGTAATGTAAAAAAAAAACATTATTCCTTTATGAGTTTAACATTTTGTTTTTCAAAATATTTCTTTTTTAATATCTTGCATCATGTGCCGTTATTACATTGTTCATTGCTGATGTTAATCTCTATGGTCTTGTGTGTGTGATAACTTGGCGAGCTGATTTGGAGAGAAACTCAGCTGATGTTGTGTGAGTGTCAGATTGATCTGACAGATGTTTTCATCATGCAGTGTGTCGGAGGATATATATATTCTGTCGGTGTGTGTGTGTGTGTGTGGATCTGGTGATTGAAGCCGTGTGTTGGTGTTGATGGTGTCTTGTTCTCCGTTAACCTGACGTCTGTCAAGGCCTGAGAAAGCAAGCTGTCACCTGGAAACATTTCTGTCAAGAAACATGAATAGTTCACCAGTCATTGTACTGCCGTAAAGTGAAGATTTGAAAACGATCGTGCTTTTCAGTAAAGCCCCGCCTTCTTTGATTTGATTGGTCACCTGGAACATTTGGACATTGACGAGCGCTGAAGCAGACCAGCCTAGAAATGTAACAACAAACGTCAAGCATCAAGAGTACAATCAATAAATATTTAGGCCTAAATTTAAGATGTTTTTGAATTGCATATGAATTGTGCATCCGTTTGCTGAAAACTCATCTCTTTTGAGCACTTCCTGTCTATTTGCCTCTTTAAGATGAATCGATGTATTCCCCAATTGTAAGTCGCTTTGGATAAAAGCATCCGCTAAATTAATAAATGTAAATGTAAATTTGGATTACACATGACTAATTCACTAAAAACAAATAGACTCATATCTGATTCATATCTGTTTATCGTACATAAATTAAATGGGTCAGATTTTTTAATATAAACTCAATAACCAGGTTTATGTATTTATTAGCAATAAATCCAGTTCGTTTCAATCCCATGCATTTAATGACTTGAGTATCACAATGAACAGATTGATTCTGATTTGAATAAATGCATTTTGAAAATCTGATGATTGAAATAAAATCAAACAGATGCAAATAGTTCATAATAAACCATGCCCTGATTTGTTTGAGTGCCTGACATACAACAAAATAAAAGTTTGTTAAAACCGTTTTATCCAAATGGATGAAAATTTTCTATGCAATTCCAATACATAAATCATAAATTTAGGCTGAAATATTTTTTGAGTGCATCATTTGAATAAGTGTGTGTATATATATATATATATATATATATATTTATTTGAAATAATTTTTTTAATGGTTTTAGTTAATGATATCAATTTAAACATTGTTTAATTTATTTTTTATTTTTTATTATTTTTTTTTTATTTATTTATTTGTTTTTGCGCATCAAGTTCAACTGAATTAAAATGAGAAATGTTGCAACTAGCTAAAGTATATATATATATATATTAGTTGTAATTTTATTTTCAGTTTTAGTTAAGTATAGTTACGGCCCTGCGTGATCAAAAAAGCGCTAGTATTAAAGTTGAGCATGTGCATTGCTAGAATTGTTTTCAGAGAGGTTTCCTGCCTCCATTGGTCAGACAAACAGTTAGCCCCGCCCCAAACACAGTGTTCAGTGTTTGGAAAGCAGTTGAGTCTTCAGCAAATCCACCGCCGGGGGCTCTAACTCTGTCCCCCGACCCGCAGGCCCAATCAGCCTGTCTATCCTCTGCCCTCCTGCGGCTTCAGACAGTCCTTCTCCTCCAGCCTCCAGAGCAGCTCCTCCTTCCCCAGGTACAGTACCAGACCTCACCTGTGCTTCACCTGACGCTTCAGCCGTATGTGTGTCGCCGCTGAGCTCACGGTCACGACCCCAAATACTGCTAAACTGAGCCACGCTGACAGGACCGCTCCGGGTTCAGCTCTGCATCGCTCTGATTCAGACTTTATTCAGCTAAAACTTGTCCATTGAGCTTGTAAGCAGTGCATTATAGTGGTTTTACATGGTTGTGACTCGAGTGGAAACATGTGACCCTGGAGCACAAAACCAGTCGTAAGGGTCAATTTTTCGAAATTCAGATTTATGCACTGCTCCAGGGTCACAAATTGAAAATAACTTTGCACACTAAGTGTAAGTTTAAGTGGTTCTGACGAACGATAAAAAGATGGACCCTTTTCACAAGACTGTGTTGATGTGTTTAACAGTCATCAGCATCGTAAATCCTCGAAGGTTTTTTATATTTTTAAAAATGTATGAACATTTATGACACTATAATTTGTATTATATCACCTTTGCATCAAATTACAAAAAAACTAGTTAAGGCTAATGCGAGGGTGTTTCTATGTGAGAGACATCGTTCTCTCTTCTGACTGCCGTTATCAGTCTCTCTCAAATTTGTTTCCTTTTATTGAAAGTCATGAAAACACTTATCGTGGAGTTTTTCTTTTGCTGTTTGAGCAAATGGGAATGCAAGAAATACATTTGCGGTACTTCTCCCATTCACCGCTCTTCAGGTTAACTCAACTATGACGACTTCCGCTGCTGAGAAACACAGAAATGTGAAAAAGGTCCATTGCCAGCCAATCAGAATCCATCCTGCTTTAAAGAGCTTGAGCTGTTAAGTTTCAAGACAACAAAACTGCAGCACGCTTGCAATAAACAATGTTACTGTGATGTTGCTTGTTATAGCTCTCATTATTTGTGTGAACAGGCCTTAAGTTAATGCAATTTTCCCCCCGTTTTTCAACTGAGAGTTATTGAATTGAAGCTTGAATTGAATAAACCCGGAACTCTGCTTTAATTACAGTTACGAGAGATCATGCTATACTGTGAATGCAGGCACAGCTAACGTGCATTAATATGCAGATGCACATTATATATCGTCCTTATGTTGCTAGATCTAGTAGTGGTATGTAAACTAAGGAACTCTTCTATTGTGCTGTGTGTCAATTTGACCCATATTCAATTTTAAACAGCTTGAAACACTGGTTAAACTTGTTTGTTCTTGAATTTCTTTCTTATTGAGTCATGAATGTGCATGCAAGGTTTTGACCCCGTAGGTGTGTTTTGGAAAGACTGTATGCATTTTGGTGACTACGATTGTGTTGGGAGTCAAATCGGCCCCCTTTTGGTTTCCATGCACTTGGACAGATTTTCATATCGGCCGTTTGAATAACAGCAAATATTCAGGTAAAAAACAGAAAACTGTAGTTAGTAAAAATCTGATTTTATATGCTGCCATGCAAAAGTTTGGGATCAGTAAGATTTTTAATGTTTTTTAAAGAAGTCTTTTATGCTCATAAAGGCTCAATTTATGTGATCAAAAATACAGAAAAAAATGTAATATTAAAATAATGGTTTTCTATTTTAATATACTTTAAAATATAATTTATTCTTGTGGTCAAAGCTGAATTTTCAGCATCATTACTCCAGTCTTCAGTTAGAAAACAATGTAAGCCTTTACTATCACTTTTTATCAATTTAATACATCCTTGCTGAATAAAAGTATTAATTTCTTCCAAAAAAAAACACTTTTGAACAGTAGTGTATATTGTTACAAAAGGTTTCTATTTTGAACAAATGCTGTTCTTTTTAATATTTTATTCATCAAAGAATCCTGATAATAAATCGGCATATTAGAAAGATTTCTGAAGGATCATGTGACACTGAGTTATGATGCTGAAAATGCAGCTTTGATCACAGAAATAAAGTGTAATAAAACAGAAAACCATTATTTAAATATTTTATAATATTACAGTTTTTTCTGTATTTTTGATCAAATAAATGCAGCCTTGATGAACAGAAGATATATATACATAAATATATAAAGTCTCTGAGAAGCTGTAATAGAGATTACATTTTTGCATGACTCTTTAGTGTTGATTTTTGTCATAGAGCATGGAAACCAGTAGGGGCTTATTTTGACACAAATGTCGTACCCACAACACAACATGAAAGTTAATAGCTGGTCTCTGTGGAAATGACCGATCATACGCTGTATGATATTTTGGTTCCTTTTTCATATTGAAGTACTTTCTTGTGGTTCACATAACGTCCAGTCAGAAAGTAACCCAGACGTCTATTGGGTACGACTCAATCTCTTCTCGGGTGTTCTTCAAGCCGTTTGTTTGTTTGTTTGTTTGGTCAGCTCAGTCTCAAAGTGGATTGGGTGAAGCACCAACCCATCGCTGTGGCTTTTCCCATCAGACGTCAACTGTGATCAAATCCTTCCTTTGTAACCCAAAACCCGAATTAGATGAACAAATCATGTTAATATGCATACATGCAGTAATAAATCCAAGCTGTGGAGATGGTTTCATTCGGATGTCAACAGACGACGCACATCTTTGTTCAATTCTTCTCGTGTCAAAGGCACAAATCCAAAACAGAGTCTGGATCTGCGAGTGTGTGGGGACGCTTTGTTGAGCTGGAACCCTTTCTGCTGTCCTTTCCCATCAAATAGTAGTGCTGCTGTAGAGTCGGCTTTGAAATGATATTTGAGTTTGTGTTGAATGCTTCAGACGGCGTGCTTGTTTTCCCTCGGGCAGAACGGGGTTGTGTGTGTTTTGCAGTATGTGCTTGCGGCGCTTCGGCGGTGCAGATAGAGCGCCAGCTGCTGGTCACATGACGCATTGACGCTTCATTACAGTTTTTTTGTTCAGCTGCTTGCACACACAATCTTTACTTGTCACACAGTTTCTGAAAGCTGACACTCAAACACCAGAAGCACACACCAAATCTACAAAACCATACGCTAATTCTCAGACTTTGACTCGACACTTTTTGCAAAACACAACACAGAATTCTCTGTTACACACAAAAATCTATCAGGAAGTTTCTTGATTTCCTTTATTATGTGTGTGTGTGTGTGTGTGTAGGTTCTCTCATTCTCTGATGCTTCAGTCCGGCATGCACCCTACAGGCATCCCACACCCCGCGATAGTGCCTCCCTCCGGCAAACACGAGCACGACCAGTTCGACAGGAGCATTTACACGTAAGTCCTCTGATGCTTTCAATGAATAGTGCACAGAACAGACCTGGGGCCTCATTTATAAAACGTGCGCATGCACTAATTTGATCTCAAAGCCACGGGAACATTCATATTTGTGACCCTGGACCACAGAACCAGTCACAAGGGTCAATTTTTTAAATTGAGATTTATACATTATCTGAAAGCTGTATGGTTTGTTAGGATGGGACAATGTTTGGATGAGATACATCTAGGCCTATTTGAAAATCTGGAATCTGAGGGTGCAAAAAAATCTAAATATTGAGAAAATCATCTTTAAAGTTGTTCAAATGAAGTTCTTAGCAATGCATATTACTAATCAAAAATTAAGTTTTGATATATTTACGGTAGGAAATTTACTAAATATGTTCATGGAACATGATCTTTACTTAATATCCTAATGATTTTTGGCATAAAAGAAAAATGTATCATTTTGACCCATACATTGTATTGTTGGCTATTGCTACAAATATACCCCAGCGACTTAACACTGCTTTTGTTCTGCAGGGTCACATTTATAAACACAGTCTTTGCGTGGAAAAGTGCTTAGAGCCACGTCAGGGTCTGAGCAGACGTACACACTTTTCATTGTGCAGCCATGATGATGATAATAATAGTAATAATAATAATAATAGTAGTATTAGGCATGTGCATTTTGGTTAATTTTCCTGACAGATATATCAGATGCTGGATAATTGTTTAAGAGTTAACAGACAAGATTAGAATGTTAAAAAAAAACTAAATTAGATTTTTAAAATTACGCATTAATAATGTCATAAATGTGCAAATATCACCATAAACAGAACATGAGTTTTGACATGCCGTCATGCATCTGCCGCACTTTTGTGAACGGAAAAAACTTAATAAAATTGTATGTAATTAAATAAACAAACACGAAATATGTTTGACTTAAATAAAACGAAATTTTAAAAAAACTGAGGCAAGTAAGCTATGCTTAGTTTTGGTGTGTTTCTGTGATTCGCTCCATAAATTAAAAAGAACCAAGAGTTAAAACGGCATCCTTATTTTTCTGGATGCTACAAATTAAAGCACGCTATTTTATTTTATTGTGAGTGTACACAAATAAAAGCCCAACTTTGGCCTCACTAAAGTTCTTTTTCCTGCTGCTCGCCATCCTCAAACAACTGTTTTCGACGTTGACTGATGCTCTTTTATATGCTAATGATATTAATTAGGGGGCGTTTACAAGGCGGAGATCTGACAGCTGTCAGCTGCGCACCATTTCAAGATCATTTGTGATTTATAAATGCCACATCTGGAAGAGAGCATGTGTTTTTGTGCGCATGTTCGTTTTACGTTTTCTCTCAATCGCAATTGTGCATTTTTGAGAAACGATCTTAGAACAGATTTAGGACGCAACTTTTTATAAATGAGGCCCCTGGAAACTCTTGAACCCTTGAAGTTAGTTTTCTGAAATTTAAGCACACGCAAATATTATTCCAGTAGTTTATTTCTATGTTTGTGCCATTTTTTTAAGTGCACACGTTTTGGTCTCAACACCAAAAATGCAACGTCTGAATACAGTTGACTCGGACGGGACTAGTTTTCCTGGAGGACGTACTTTGTGATTTTAATCCCATCTGAATCTGTGTTTTTCTTCCATAACCTCTCTAGAAGTTCTAGAGCAAATTACCTTCTGTTTGGTCCTGTGAGATCTGGAATTGCCTTGTGAGTTTGCACCCCTGAATAGAAATACTTGACACAAATCTGATTCTCATAATAAATTGTCCATGTCTGTGGGACTAATTATAATACCTCAAATACCTCTGTTTGTGTGAAATATATCCAGTGCTGGGTAGATTACTTACAAAATGTAGAATTTCAAAAATTCTAGATAGTAAAGTAATCCATTACATTCCACGTTTTAGGTAATCTGACAACTTTTTGATTACTTTTAGATTACTTTTGACCTAATGCATTGATCACATTGATTTAAATAAGATAATCTTGTACTATATTGATGTAAAAGTACAAAGAAAAAGAAAATATATTACATTTGTTCTTATTAACAACATGAAGTGCATTAAAAAGTTTCCCAAACTGGGGTTCATGAAGGAACTGAAAATGAAAAGCTAATATTTAATTACATCATAAAAATGTAAAATTAAAATAAATCATTTTAAAATAATTGATCATTTAAATATAAATTCATGTGTTCATCGGTAGTTGATGCAATGTTGAAATGTTGAGAAAACTTATGACTTAAGTTTAAGTAAAACTTATTAAAACGGAAATGATTTTTGTAAATTTCAGTTTTTGTGTAATTATATCCATCTGACTAGTGACTGGTCTTTGTGTGAATGTCCACAAAACTAGAAGACTGGAAAACTCGTAGGCTATTTTAGAAAGGAAGATTGGATATTAGGATATTAGAATCATTTATTGCTTTAATAAGAATAATATGTAATCATGTAATCCCTAATAAAGTAACTATAGTCTGATTTCAATTATTTTAAAATATAACTACAAGTACTTAATTTTTGGAGTCTGATTACGTAATCCACATTACATGTAATCAGTCACTACTCAGCACTGAATATACAGTATTTTTGTTTAATATGAAGTGTTTTCAGTTGAAAATGCTTGTTCCTATCAAATGTTAGATCAAGTCTCCACGTCAAAAAATTTCAGATCTGAATCCTGCTCCGAGATTTGTCTCACATCCGAAACCCAGTCAGCGAAGTCTTGTCTGATACCCAAAACCCGTATTAACGGTCTTCTGTCAGCCGAGAAGTTGACTGAGAAAGCCAGAGAAGAGCAGAAGAGGAGACAAGTGATGATGATAACAAAGGAGCAGAGTTTATCGTAAAACCGTAGTTGCGTATGTTTCAATTCTCAGACTTCATCTGACCAGCGCAAATGCAACAAGTGTTATTATACTACGATCGGTAGCAATGGAAAATTACTGCTTCACAACAACGTCCCTCTTATCATGAAGACAAATATCCCTTGAAACCATACAGTCATAAGACAACAATGGGAAAATAATATAAAATATAATATAAGTGACTAATCAATGAAATGAGTATATAAGTGGTTTAAATGATCATTATAGATGAGAGATAAACATGGGCTTTGTGCCTTTGTTGATTTCGAGTAATGGGACGCCCATCCAAACATGTTATTAACTATTGTTATTTGTATAATGAAGTGTTTTTCTCTTTCTTCTTCATCACGTACCTCAGCAAATCTCATGCAGAGTTGAAGCGCGAGAAGGAGCCCAAGAAGCCGGTGATCAAGAAGCCGCTGAACGCGTTCATGCTCTACATGAAGGAGATGCGGGCCAAAGTCATCGCTGAGTGCACGCTGAAGGAGAGCGCTGCCATCAACCAGATCCTGGGCCGACGGGCGCGTTCCATCCGCTTCATCTGTGATCAGGATTACTGTCTGGGAGAGAGTGTGTGTGTGTGTGTGTGTG